TTCCTTAGCTTAATTCCCCACCTGATCTTCAAGAACTTTTCTGAAGAATTACATTAACTGAAAGATGTCCCTTTTCTTTTGTCTGTAATGATGGACTTGTGTAATTAAAATTTGTAATTTTATATCAGTGCAGGCATCAGGTTCCCTTCGTACAAGGACTAACAATCTAATAATACAGGCTGAAATGGTACAAAATAAACTCTACAATACAATTTCTATTGCTTACAGGTGTAGTATGATTTGCATACAGATATACAAGCACACCAGTAGTTAAGTAAAACTTTTCAGCCTTCATTGCATTGTTCAGATCTTGAAATATTGTGGCATTCTCTGCTTCATCCAAAAATAAAAGGGCTAGGTAATAAGTGAGGAACTCTCAACTTTGGGACACAAGCCTGAGATAAAAAGCAGCATAGAGAGAGCTAAAGCAATATGGATTTAGTGCATAAGAGGCACATAGTATTTATTGCTGTGTCTTGTGATTTTTTCTTCATCTTACTTAAATTTAATTCATAATTAGTAGTAGGGTCGGAAGGAACCTGGACAGATCATCAAGTCCAAACCCATGCCACAGGCAGAAAAGAATGCTGGGGTCAGATGACCCCGGCAACGTGTCTATCTAGCCTCCTCTTAAAGACCCCCAGGGTAGGAGCGAGGACCACTTCCCTTGGAAGTTGGTTCCAGATCCTGGGAGCCCTGACTGTGAAGTAGTGCCTCCTGATATCCAGCCTGATCTGCTCTTTGTCTGTTTTGCCGTTGTTCCTTGTTACTCCCGGTAGTGCTTGGGGGAACAGCGACTCTCCCATTGCCTGCTGGTCTCCCTTGGCCACTTTATAGATGGCCACCCGATCCCCCCTCAGCCTTCTCTTGTGGAGGCTGAACAGGTTCAGATCCTGTAGCCTATCCTCATAGGACCTGTCCTGTTGCCCCCTGATCATGTGAGTGGCCCTCCTCCAGACCCTTTCAATGTTGTCCACATCCCTCCTGAAGTGCGGCACTCAGAACTGGATGCAGTACTCCAACTGGGGCCTGACCAAGGTCGCATAGAGGGGGAGGATCACCTCCATGGACCTGCCCCCCACATTGGCAGCCCATGTTCATCTTTGAGCCAATAATAACTCCAAGATCCTTTTCTGCCTCTGTGCTGGCAAGAGTGGAGTTCCCCAGGCTGTAGGTATGCTGCTGGTTCTTCCTCCCCAGGTGCAGTACCTTGCACTTGTCAGTGTTGAAATCCATCCTGTTCTCATCTGCCCACCTCTGTAATCTGTCCAAATCTGATTGCAGCTTGTCCCTCCCCTCTAGCATGCCCACCTTCCCCCACATCTTAGTGTCATCTGCGAATTTGAACAAGGTGCTTTTTATGCCCTCGTCCAAGTCGCTGATGAAGATGATGAACAGTGCAGGCCCGAACCCTGGGGGACCCCACTGCCCACATCCTTCCAGATCGAAAAAGACCCATCTACCGCCACTCTCTGGGTGTGGGCCTCCAGTCAACTGGCGACCCATTTGACCATGTAGGGATTGACACCACAGTTGCCTAATTTTTTAATGAGAATGGGGTGAGAGACGGTGTTGAAGGCTTTTCTAAAGTCCAGAAAGACTACGTCCACCACAACACCTGCATCCAAGAATTTAGTGACCTGATCATAGAAGGCCACCAGGTTGGTCTGACAGGACCTGCCTCTGATGAACCCATGTTGGTGGCCCCTAAGCATACACTCCCCTGCTGGTCCCTCACAGATGTGCTCCTGCATAATTTTCTCGAAGAGCTTCCCCAGGACCAAGGTAAGACTAACAGGCCTATAGTTTCCTGGGTCCTCCTTCCTCCCTTTTTTGAAAATGGGGCCACACTGGTCCTCTTTCAGTCCTCTGGCACCTTGCCAGAATACCACAAGTGCTCGTAAAGCTGTACCAGGGGACCCACAATGACCTCTGCTAATTCAGCACTCTGGGGTGGAGATCGTCAGGACCTACTGATTTGGACATGTCCAGTCCCACCAGGAGGTCCCTGACTAGGTCCACTCTGACCCTGGGCCTGGCTGCACCTCACCTGGGAGAATCAGGGATCACGATGGGGGGATGACCTGGTTCCTGCTCAGAAAAATGGAGGCAAAGAAGTTGTTAAATGTTAGCATTGACGTCTGGTGCGACCACCAGACTTCCTAGCATGTCCTGCAGAGTCCCTACATTACCCAGAACCTTCTTTTTACCCCCTATGTATTTAAAAAAGAACTTCTTATTGTCCTTGATTCGGGTTGCTAGTCCCAGTTCCATCTTCACCTTACCCTTCCTAACAGCCCCCTAGAAACCCGAGCAACAGCTGTATAGTCTTCCCTGGTGATGGCCCCTCCCTTCCATTGTGTGTACACCTCCTTTTTAGCCTTGAGACGTTCCTGGATGCTTTTTGTTAGCCAAGGGGGCTTTTGAGCACTGTTGCTCCCTTTGACCCTTGTTCAGATTGCCACCCTTTGAGCTTGGAGGATGGTCTCCTTAAGGAATGACCACTCTTCTTGGACTCCCAACTCCCCTCCCCTCCGGGACCTCAGTCTGTCCCCGACTAATCTCCTTACCTCACTGAAATTAAGGTTGAGTAAATGTTCCCAATCCAAATTTTCTCTTTCAGTTGATTCTAACGCTCTTAAACGTTCATTTTAGGGCTGAATTTCTCTTACATGGTCTCTTCCAGAGGGTACTTTTAACCACAAAAAAAAAAATCAGAAAAATTGACTCAGCAATTTTTTGAATGTGAATAGTAAATAAACATGCACATGCTTCATTGTAAATAATAATGATATTATTTTATATAATATAATTGCAAATATTTTTTGCACAGCTTGCATGCCTCTTTGCTACACACTTGAAAATAGTTCCATGGCCACGTGGATGCCTTGTGATAACCTAGTACAATTCCATTTTGAGTTAGTCATATTTTAAGCATTTAAATATATGGGAAAATGTTATGTAAAATAATACATTATTTTAAATTTAATTTATAGTAGTCTTCTTCCAGCACTCATGGCACAAATAAGCACATACTGTGTGGAATTTTCCAGTCAGTTTGAGAGCTCAGTAATTTCTGAGCCCGACTCATGATGAGGACATAAGGAATTCATGAGGACATAAAAAAGCCAAATAGAAGATATGTCAATAATTGTGGAATAAAGGAGTGCCTGGAGTGAAGAATACCTCCACATTATGAAATACTGAAAACAGATGGAACTAAATTGATTAAATATTCTTTAAAATAGTTTACAAAATTGCAGTTAAATCTTTCAAACCTTTCACTCACTTCTAGTTGGCATAGATGTTTAATAGCTTCAGGAGACCAGCCAAACATGGCTATGAAGACTGAATGGCTTTCATAATTATACATCTTACTTCCATTAAAGCAGTGTTTCCCAACCTTTCCCAGTCCAAGGCACACTTACTTTAATAAAATTTTTCTGCGGCACACTTGTTAAGGCATTCCCCATCCTCATACCTATTGTAGCTCACTGTAGCTCATTGCCATGGCAAAATTCCACGGCACACCTATTCATTTCTGATGGCACACTTTTGTGCCGTGGGACACTGGTTGGGAAAATTGCATTGAAGCAAAGGGAAATATTACTACTAAATTCAACAGAAGCAGAGCTGGGCCCAAAGTCCTTCAAGAACTGTGTTAGGCCATAACTACCACAGTAGTCTGAGAACATTGGCATTGCTGATGCCTGATTCGACTCTTGTTCTCTGTAGGCTTACATGTCTGTGACTATTAATAAGGCACCTTTCACAAAAGCTATCATTCAAAAATGTGGAAATCCTTTTGTGTGCAACTGCTAAAGCAAAAGAAAAGGACAAAGGCCCCTGATTTATATGAGAAAGAACTTTCTTCACTGGCTATACAGAACAGTTAAGAAAAAGAGGCCCCAGTCAAGATCCTCATTCAGAAGTGAGTCACAGCCATGGATTTTCCCTTCCTTTATGGAAAAATGGCTTAGTTCTCTTTCTGGACACATCCCTCTCCACAGGCTGTGCAGTATACATTTTAGAGAGCCAAAGATCTCTGTGTGAACCGTGGGTAAGTCTCAGAGCAGGAAAAAGGGATAAAACCATTCCTGATTGCTATGACCAGCTCCATAGAGGTCTAAGTGGAAATGTATTTCAATTGAAGAGAGAAATCTGCTATGAAGGTCATAGACTTCTGTACTTACAGACCTGAGATCCACAGAGGTAGGGAATTAGCTCACACTTTATTCTACAAGAAGGTCCCTTCTCTTGTTGATTAACTGTGGAGAAAGCTCCATAAAAGAAACCTCAGAGTTTTCCCCACCTGAGATAAGGGAAATGGACCTTAAATAAATAACATTTTCTTGCTCCTATACCACTGGATATATAGTAAAAGTTTTCTAAGGTCTCACAACTATTTAATTAAAAAAAGAATAGGAGTTTCTCAATTTGGAAATTTGTGGCAACATACAAGCTGTTCAAGCCATGGGGTAATACAGATTTTTTTTTCATCAAACCAATCTAAACTAAGCCCATTTACAGAAAACTATGTAACTTAGATTGATTCTGCCTCAGGCTTTTCAAATGTCTGTAAGCCCATAAGAAAATGTATCATCCAGCATCACTACACTGTATCAAAATGATTTGGAAAGTAAATCTGTTTTTTCTTTTAGCAGATAATATGGATGTTTGCAGATTAAATGTCAGGCAATAAATAACACTAATTTCACATACCTACAAATATAAAGTCACCTTATCATTCTTTAAGCCCCTCACTCTTTGTAATGCTTGCTAACATTTTAACCCAGACAAATTAAGGTGTTGTTTTTGCTGCCATTTCACATGGGCAAAGCACACAGTTATAACAGCCTTTTATCAGATTTCATGGTATAAAAGGGCTTCTAGTGCCTAAATACACACTCTCTGTTGCTGTTAAATGTCTCAGTTTCAGGGCTCCTGTTTCAGAAGATGTGTGTCTCTTATGTTTTACTCCTTTTGTTTCCTATTTACAGTGGTTCAAGTACCACCTGCCCCAGAAGATGCAACTGTGACTCTGCACAGACAGTGCAGTGCTACAGAATTATAGAGATACCTACAGAGATGCCTTTCACCACCAAGAGGCTGTACATTAGCCACAGCAAGATCAAACAACTCCAGGTAAGAGAAAGCCCGGTCTAAATAAGTTCCCTTTTCAATTAGGTTTCTTTTTATCTGCTAGTAACTTTCAAGTCAAGCCCAGCAAGAGGTTTATTCCAGATGCTAAAGGTTGGGTACAACTGTGCACTCTCTGCTTTTTGTTCTTCCAGTTTTTTACAGATTATCCTGTTCCCATCACCATGGTATCAGAGTGCCTGTGTAAACTGCTTGAAGGATTTGTTTCTTATATGATTTATACAGAGTTATTATATTGATGATCTTGTGCATACACGTTTTATAATTAGTAACAGTGAGCCAAAAATTGATCACTTTTTAATTGGTCAAGCACCCATTGCTTCACTGAGATAGCATAGCTTCTCTGAAAACTTACTTCTTCACCAAGAAAGCGTAGCTTCTCTAAAATCTAATTTGTTGCTTCTCCTGCTAAGTTCGGATTTTAGAAAACAGAAATGGTTTTCAAAATGAATGTAACAGCATCATTTCCCATCTCCATTTTATAAGCTGATGATACAGCTTCTATTAAAAATGCCTGGTGAACATTTGGTTACTCTGGACCTTGCCCTGCATCTCTGAAGTCAGTGTGGGAGGTGTGTGCTTGATATAAATTAAAGCAATTTTTAACTGTAAATGATCTCACTAAATAAGGAAATAAATTGATTTCTAAATAATAATTCTTGTTATAATAGCTTACTCTGAGTTTTCCTAGGCATCACTGAATCCTGCAATACTGTACAAAAGTTAGTACCAGATGATGTTTTTGCAGCACATGCTAAAATAACTTTTCCCTATTCTCACCGTAACATAATATTGGTACAATAAATTCAATTGATATGGCTGGACACTAGGGAAATACAGCCCTCTGCATTATACATGTTCTGTGTGCCAGTTTTCTATGAATAGTTTCTTAAGGAATTCTCTGTAAGAGGGATACATTTTTACTGAAGTATATTTGCTTTTATACCAGGAGTATAATTTTAACTGTTATCAACTATATCTTTTGTTTTTACTCTTAGGATTGTATAAACTAGGATAAAAATCACTTTGGAGCAATATTTGGGTCTCTTTTTGCTTGTACAGTTAAGTAATCTCAGCTTTGAGAGCAATGCTGAAGTTTAACCAAAGCAAAGAATTAATTTTTGCTATTTTCTAAGTCATTACTGATATCCATCATTCTCTTGCTATTGGTCCATTCCTTGGAAAAACCAATGCTCACCAGTGTGCCTTTAATATACTTATATAGCCTGGTTAATGAACTCCTTCTTCCAGTATGTCCATTTGCTCTTTCTTAGGAAATGCAACCACATTTTAAGTGTGAAAGAAAAATAGTAATTCACATTTCTCTCCCTAAAAGGAGAAAATCTGCATTTTTCTCCATAAAAGGGAATTAAACTAATAGAGATATTTCTTGTCCTGATTATTTATAGTACAACGAATTGCCCTGTGATTTCATTCATGTAATTGTACTATAAATTCACTGAGCTGAACAACTGGTGCCCTTCTACTGTTAACTTTGCAAAGAAAAGAAATAAGTGTTCTTTTGCTGCTTATTCTGTTCAACATAATACATGTATTTTTATTCTTTCTGACTGTTTATCAAGGATCTTTAATGAAGAGTGAGCTAAGCTTCCAAATATATTTTTCACTTTTCTTTCTATGTGACTGTCTTTGCTTAAAATAAAACTTCATCCCTGACCCCAGAGGAACTTAAGCACATGATTAACTGTACAGACATGAACAATCTCATTCAGCATATATGTAAGTGCTTACAGGATCAATACCTCATTTTTCAGTTTTAAAATAAATGCTTTTTCATGTGATAGCTTTCAAGAGATACTTGCTTTCTTTTTATTTTTTTAACCTCTCTAGTTTATTGAAATTAAAATACTACTACTAATAATAATAACAATAATGATAATGATAAATTGTTATGACGTGCTTTTGTTTCATTTCTGCATTTTGCTCTTCCCAAACTGTGAATCTAGTCTGGTCACTTTTACTTTAAATTCAAAACCATTTCTAATTAGATTAATTGAGGGTTTACATCTGCTAGTGAAATACTGTTATTGCTGTTCTGTTTTTGCTGTTTTCTATTTCACTGTTTTTCTGTTATTGCTACAGAAGGGTGTGTTTAAAAATATCTGCTTTAGCAGACATAAAGGCAAAAATGAAAATGCTTTTATTCACACTAAATTAGTAGAACCTTGTTTTCACAGCATCTAAATATTTGGATCTAATGTTTGGGATCTGGATGTTGGAGAGTGTCACTTTACATTATAGACTGCCGAGGAAATGAGCAGGGATCCAGGTTTTCTGCTCACCATGGAAAAACATGGATTTTCCCCTTTTATGGAGAAAAATGCAGATTTTCTCCTTTTAGGGAGAGAAATGTGAATGTTCTCCCATAAGAGAGAAAAATGGAGGGGACAGCAGGTTTCCCCTTGCAGGCTGGCAGGGTTCATGCCTGCAGGGGCTGCTTGGGGCTGGGAGGAGCAGTAGGAGGCTGATCAAGCAGGGGCACTGTGGCACGTGTGTGTGTGTGCAGCCAGGCAGTGTGGAGAGCGGCTTCTGCGGCTCCTTCCAGGTGGGTCTGGGGAAGAGAGGGAGGGTGGGTGGGGCAGATTGAGGCCCCCATGGTGAAGGAGAGAGTGGGGCAGGGCTGGGGGCACTGCCCAGCCAAGGCGGTGTATGGGGCCTGGGGTCCAGGACCAGAGTGGGAGGGCATGGCCATGGGGCCTGCTTGGGGAAGTGAGATGGAGCCATGGGCAGCTCACCCGAGGGGTGGCAGAGGGACTAGCTCCCTGCCACTGCATGCACTCCTGTGGGTACATGGGGGGAATATGATGCCCAGATTTGTGTATAGGGCAGGGGCGGATGCGGGCTGCCTGCTATGAGCTGGGGGTTCCCTACCCTGCTGCCCTCCCTCTGGGGCCTCCATGGCCCAGCAGGCAGGACCTGGCATTGGGGGGGGCAGGGAGGCTTGGTCACTGCCATGAGCCCCATGCCAGCTGCACCACCATGGTGGGATGCCCTTGCCCACGTGCGGCGGCAGGGGGGCACGGCTTTGCACCACCGCTGCTGCTGCCAGGAGGGCATGGGACCTTGCTGTGGTGGCATGGCCAGAGTGGGTTCCCAGTGGTGGCACCAAGCCTCCCTGGCCTCCAACGATGGGTCCTGCCCATTGGACTGTGGAGGTCCCCAGAGGGGAACAGATTGGGGAGCCCTGGGCAAACAGCTTGCAGCTTGCATCCTCTCCCCTCCCTCACCACGGGCTTTGTTCTGGCCATGCTGCTCATGGGGGCAGAGCGGGAACCAGGCTCCACGCTCTGCTCCAGCCATAGCAGCCGCTGCCACCTCCTGTGGGCAGTAGCCAGGGCTTGGGTGCTGCTGGAGCAGAGGGAGGAGGCTGTGAGCCTTGGCCCTGGTCCCATAGTCCTGGCAGCTGGAGGCCCGTTCTGGCAGGGCTGGGTAGGGCAGGGGGCTGCAGGTCACAAGTGAAGGGCATCAGCAAGGCTGGGAGGATGAGGGGCTGTGGGTGGGGATTGAAGGGCACTGGCAGGGCCAGGGGGATATGGGTTGGGAGTAAGGGGCACCTGGGAGGGCATGTGGGGACTCTGGGTTGGACGTGAGGGGTACCAGTGAGGGCTGGGGGATGGGGAGCTGTGGGTCAAGGCTTAGGGGCACTGGTTGAGCTAGGCGGCTGTGGGTAGGGAATGAGGGGCACCAGTAGGGCTGGGAGTGGGGTGGGGGTTGTTGCTTGGGAGTGAAAGGACATGGCATGGGCAGGGGACTGGTATATCAGCGCTGCTCAGCACCACAAAGCAGGGGGCAAGACAGCCACAGCTGGACCCACGTCCTGGAGAACGAAGGGGCCAGGGAGAGCTTTGATTTTCTATGAATAAAAAAAACAAAACCAAATGCCAAAATATATCGGTATATATAATTTATTTTATTATAATGATTGAGGCACTGGTAGGCTTCCAAATTCCTTTAAAATTATAAATAAATTAATAAAACATTGTATTCAACTAATACTGATATATACAGTGGTGTTTCATTTACATAATGGAAAAATGCAGATTTTTGGTTTTTACATCAGAGCACTTGTGATTTTTACCAGTGATTTTGCAATTTTTAAACAAAGAAAATCAAAATCCCTGGAAATGAACAAGCAGCACCTTTTGGCAAAGAGGGAGCATATATTGTTTAAAATATGCCTTGGTTCAGATGATTTATATTGCCTTATGTTTGGGAATTGCAAAAAAGGGATAAATGTTTAAATCTCAGAACCAACTGTAAGGCCTACTAAGGCACACCAAATGGATGGGAAAGGAAAATTATACTAATCTGCCTTAAGAAGCCTGCGGTGGGCTTGCTGGGCTTTGCCCAGCTATCCGGGCTTAGGAGACAGCGAATGCGATTTGTAGGGCATAACCCACCAAAGACAGGCACAGGAGGAGCCAGGAGGAGAGTCCGCTCCCCCTGTACTCCAAAGGCAGGGGCAAGAATGGATTTAATTGGGAACTGCATTTGCAGCCCCGCTAATTGGTTCATTTTCAATCTGGGGGTGGAGTCCCAGAAAGGATATAACCAGCTGTGTGCCAAGCACACGGCACAGTTGGTGAGGGATGAAGAAGGAGGAAGAGGTCCTGGGGCCAAGAAGAGCTGGGAGAGCTGCCCAGCGGGCATATCTGGCTGCCCAGAAGAGCCTGAAAGATTCCACCGCTGGATGGAAGCGGTAGGCAGTGCAGGTGTCACTGCATGGGGGGTCCACAAGGAACTGGGGCCCTGGGAGACACAGTGAGGTGGCTCAGGTCTCCAACCCTGGCACGAGGCCAGGCTGCAGTGCAGGCATTGTTGCATGGAGGGTCCGTGAGGGACTAGGACCCTGGGAGCCGCAGCAAGGTGGCTTAGGTCTCCAACCCCAGCATGAGGCCGGGCTACAGTGCAGGTGTTGCTATACGGAGGGTCCACAAGGAACTGGGACCCTGGGAGCCACAGTG